CCACGCTTCTGGCATCAGAAGATGGTGGAAGATACAAGTATGTCGGATTTGTTCTTCGTGGAACCCTGAGCTGCTCTCTCGGGCAGCGGTGGTCACCTGCGAGTTCAAAGCATATCCTGACAGCGTTGAGTTCTGCCTGAGAGAAGACACGCATCTGCGTGTTTGGCTACTCTGAGTGACTGCGAGCCAGGTACGAGGGGTTTGTGTCCGTGTAAATTTACGCTGATGTGCTAGGGGCCTGGGTCCTCGGGGCTTTCTGGGCGCTGTTATCCGCGCATCGATGAGCCCGAGGCGGTTGCTCGACACCACTACAGCCAGCACGTCTCATACGAATGTCTGCACTGGTGCACGTTCTTTGAGCTACAGTGTAGACGAGTGGTAGCAGTGCTTAGTCAACAGACGTAAGTTGGGGGTATGCTTGCCGCGGGTCAACGAAGTGCCACCCCTCGATAGACAGCCGGCGCTGTCCTATACCTTATGAAACATTGTGAACTGCGATGTCTCCCCCCACCAAAGACAAAAGCTGAAGTGTTTCCAGAACATCCGACAACATAATTACAGTTTTCGACATCCTTCCCTCTTATTTATGACCATGAACGCGCGTCTGTGCTCCCATTGAGAATATGTTGATAGCCTTAATTGGCTAATGCCCACGTCCATGACCAGTGCTCCGAGAAATTTTTACACACCAGACATCTCCGTATCAGTTTTAAAACTTGCTCAGTTGTCCAAAATAATAAAATAAAATAATTAATATGATTAACCAACAAGCTGTTTGGAATGCGAAAATTCATCTCAGTTTGCAAATGTTGAGGTAGCATATGAAGACACCTTCTGTGTGACGGTGCCAGCTTAGAATTTTCCTGAGTGTTGCAGAGTTCTCTTGCGCCAACCTCTGGTAGCCGGCGTGCAGATAACCTCATAAGCGAGCCAAACAACTTGTCTGTCCCCTGTAAAACATACGCGACGGCTACTCACTTGTCAAGTGTGGAGAGGTGTTGCCGTTAAATAAGGCGGAAATTGAAGTGGCCACTTCTGGTTTAATCGTCGCCATCGGTTAGCCGTATCCCATTTTCCAGTTAAAGGACCCGAGTTTTGATACCAAATCAGTTATGAAACCGTTTTGGTCATTATTGGCAGTTTGTACAGAAGGCTGACTACTGAAGTTAAGGGTCCATGCCCTAGTGACCGCGATAGTGGGCATCTAAACCCACATAAAAGTCGTGTTTACCAAGAAATTCTGCCAGTCCTGAAGTAAGTAAATATCGATGAACCTCACTTTTATGAGGTTTATCAATTATTTAAACATGACGGACGACTGTAATTTAGAAAACACGCTGTTTATTAGGTTGTTATATCACCTGATTTCTTTCTAGTCTTCGCAGTGGTAGAATATTTCAGTTTAATTGACAGAATCACTAGTGAATTCGACTACATCGTCACCATTGTTTTCAGCCATGGCACTTGGAGGAAAGTACAGTGTCTATTCGTCATTTAAGGACTTTTATACCCGGTGGGATGCTTATAGCATTGATGTAACATTTTCGTCTGCCCTTATGGCAGAGGCGCCTGAAAAAATAAACCAAAGGTTGGGGTTAGGTACATCAGGTCAGTTTGCAGATATTAAGACTAAATTGGAAATAAATATTTTTGAAACTTAAAATTCGCTAAATATTGGTTTTCATTTCCCACCCCACCTTATTTGTATTCAGCCAAACTTCACTGCATCCTGCCCTATGAGTTTTGAATGTCCTCTCAAATACATTCGTCAAACTCAGGTCAACTAGTTAATTTAGATTTTAAGATCGATGATGGGTGATCAACTGTACAAATACAATATCCACTCCAGACGAACCAGCCGATAATGACGTTCTGTCAAAGCCATTGTGCACCTAACTTGTTCCTTCATAAAATTTCCAAACAATGAGAACACATTGACGATATAAATGTTCATAATTAGACCTTCAGAATCGTCTTCTTGTGGAGTGCTAAAGCTTAAAAGGAAGCATAGTTTTCTAAGAGAAGGTAAACAGCTATGTTCATGAATTAACGCCTCATGGTCTGTTCTGAATATAACCGAAACTACCAACTGGCTACAACGAACTTTCTCGAAGACGTTAGCAAAAGTTACAATTTTGTTAAAATGTATCCCCACCAAAGTCACTTTAAGTATCTGAGAATGAGAGTCGGTAAGCCGCGGACTTAAAAGCTTTCGACAGGCCAACAAGAGATACGTTGGTAAAGCGACCCACAGGCAGCTCTAACCGTAGAAGTTTTGAGCGCTCAACTATAAGGTACTCAAAAGCATGGGTGTAACAGAATTTGAAATGTGATTTTTGTTCCCTGAATGTGATACGATGAACTGTGCCCTTTTTAAGATGCACTGTCGAACTTCGCTGTAATTACTGTGAAAAGACCTATTTTTGTATTAAAAAGGAAGAAGGGATGCTTGATAAAGAGGTAGACAATAACCATCTGAAGTTAAGAAATCGCTGGAACTTCAACTCACATGGTACCGTAACGCACGTTCTTGTGGTTCCTGCTGCCGACTGCTTCTTGCTGGCATAGGATGACTGACCTATGTTAGGCGACTTTTTATATTTATAATCAAAAATTTTGAATTTTCACGCTTAGGTTGTTTCTGGATTCCCCTCTTACTTTATCGCTAAGTTGGGCGTCATCAGTCTTTAAAGATATACAGGTGGGAGAGAGTCTAGAGAATGCAGTGCCTATTGACCATTCTTATTTATACGCATTTTAGACAAATCTCAAAGACTTTTTCTGTCTGGTCTCTGTGGATAGCGTTCGAATTCAACCAGATAGTTCTTTGCTTCTAGAGCAAGAAAATCATGTGATTTTGCCAGAGCGAAATGCCATCTAGTTGAGTAATTTGTCGATTATACTTACTTTTCTAGCCAATAAGACGCTTGTCCACAGAATGCGAGCGCCGTTCACTTTGTTTACGTCTAAGTGTGGGATGCATAGGCTTTAATATTTAGTGAAGACATTCAGCTTTATTTTTAAGTTATTTGACTGGAATTAAGTCATATTATCATACTGACGTATATCCTCATAGCAAATAAGGGATTCACCGTGTGAAAATGTACTGTAAACCAAGTGCAGACCTTTACGGAAGGTTAGCAGTAATTACCAGGTGCAGTTCCTCTCCAATCTTGGCATCGAGGATCTGTTCGCAGAAGTACCCTTTTTCTTTACCCCTTTTCCAGACATTTCCTCATATCAACAAAAATAGCTGCAGGGATCGCACGCATAGGGTATACATAGCAAGCTTACGACTGCTGGCTGACTGAACCCTTTGTTGTCTTTTTATATTGCCACCTGAACCTGAGGGGCTAAATGCAACATGTTCTATCTGAGGTCATGGTGCAGGTGTCTTTAAGGTAGGTTAACTCCTAACGAATTTACGTCTTTTCTTCCGTGATTTTACTCTAGAAGAAGCCTTCCATACTGCGGGAAATAAACCAAGATATCTTCCAGCCGGTGGTTGACGCTTGCCGCTAGTTCTGCAACCAAGATGTAATTGGCTTTAGTAAATACGTAGCTCACTAATATGGGATAGGTCGTTTCTCTTCATACGAGAATCAGTTGTCACCTACATGGAGCAATAACACTTGGATACATATAAATCCTTGCTTACCACCCCCGTAAATCAATCTAATTTATGCTGACTAACAGAGATGAATTTCTGCATCTTCCGCACCCATATAGCTCAACATGCGGATGCCTTCCTGGGGACTATGGCTCTGAGTTCTCCAGAACGGATTAACTCTACGAAGACCGATATGATCAGGACGATTGGAGAAAAAGATAAGAATCCTTTGAACCTCCTTTCCAAGGTGCCACACTCGGTGGACAAGTAAAAGCTTGGTGACCTCCGATCTTTTGACGCACCTTGGTTGATAATAGCGGCTAAGTCTTGTTTTCGTCTTGACAACTCAGACAATCTCTGGGTGAGTCCATTCCCTAGCTTTCCCCTGTGGGACAGGATGCAGTGAGGAAACAAGTCAGCGCTTGTTACAAGGTGTATAACACCATCTACCTGCCCACCTGAGGGAAGGTGAAACAAAGACGGTCGACAGCCCGTCATACAACTGCGAGACAGTGTACAGTGTTAGCACCAATGCAGTCTGCATGCGAACATAGAGGTCCGCAAGTGGTGACGAACGCGTTTGAACCGAACGGACCCAGTTGAATAAGAATTTGACAGTTTCCTCGTGCACTTAACCTACGATTAATCACCAAAGAAAGATGGGTCTTTGCAATAAAGTGTGGTGGTAGAGCGCTGATTACACAGTGGTTTCCTAATTGAAGTTGCCGGACGTCTTTATAATAGGGAAACATGTTACTGTACTTGCACGCAATTAAAATCTATGCTGTTGTCGTTACTATAGTCCTTAGTTCCGTTGACGAGACTGTATTACTATGATATACAAAAAATGCATTCTATGCATTGTTTCTGCGTCAGCACATGCCCACACAGTAGCGTATCCAGCTAATTAGTGTAGCAGCGTTCAAAGTAATTTGCACTACACTAACGCAACCGATAACAAAGCATCCGTCATATAACGCTTTCATGTCGCTTGACCATATAGCTACCATCGTTGACTTGTCATCGAGGCATGCTGCACTACCCACAGGGGGCGACATATTTTTCCCCGATGAAATTATCCGCAAAGTCAAGGGAGACTGGGAGGGCCGTTTCTATTAAACCGAGTTTGGTTGGTCTGTAAATCGTCCGCCCTGTGGTCAAGGTCGCGCGTAAATGATCTGCCTGTTGTGGCCAAGAATATTTAAAGCTATGTGACGTGGATGCATACCGATCCGACCTAATTGTGAGTCGGAAGCCAGAACCAACTCATCGTTGATAGGTCAAAAAGAGCTGACCATTGACTTCCACTAAGAAAAGAGCAATTTATATGCGAAGTATCCTCGACAAATTCAGTGGACCAGCTGAGGAACATATATCTGTTCCCAATGAGTTTTCGTCTAGTTGGGGCAGGTAGATAGCTAAATACTAGCCGATTAGTTCGGCTCCTCTACTAAAGCTTCCCAGTCGAATCCGTGACTCATCGGTCCAAATAACTTTAACCCACTGAGAAAACCACGCTCGTTGTCACGTAGTTCAAAGGAAGCAGACTCGTCTACGGTTTCCATCCATCCGCGTCAAGTTCAGTAGGTCCTTCTATCTTCAACCGTATATGTTTGAAAACCTCCAGAGTACGGACAAAGGCCTGAATTGTGTCTTTACATTTTGGAATGGAATAGGATATGACCTGACTACAGCCGCCCGTGATCTTATTCTGTATTGATAGACGACCGAGACCCTGGCCATCCCATGTTTTCATTGGTTTGCCCTCCAACCCTCGATCGCTTGCTGCACTTGCTACACGGGGAAAGCTGGGGGACCCACTGACGAGCTGAACCCCTCGCCGCTGCGTCAGGCAACGGCATAAGACCGACGAAACACGCGTGTCTGGGCTTTTAGCTAATACCTGTGTTGTTAGTACGGTAAATCATGGCACATTTCCTTTCTCTGTCAGATGGCACGATGTCTTCGAAAGAATATTTGTGCTGCAGAGAAAACAAAGTATCGACCACTTCACGTGGACAGGCCTTGCAGAACGTCCAGTTAGCCATCGTGAGCGAAGTATTCGTAGTTGCACCTGACGTGGAACGCAGATGTACTTCTAGATGATCCAGACAGGTAACTAAGCGGGGGGGTCGTCTATTTTATGGCCAAATGCATAGGGTTAGGACGGGTGCCAGCTGTCTGTGATCTAAAGGCGTAGGAAGAGGAGAGTATAAAACAGTCGTTATATTTCAATGAGTGGACAGTTCTAGAAAATACTTTACATTTCTTTGAATTAATTCGCTCATTACGCCGCCACAGGTGGTAGTCTGATAACCTAAGGTTTCTTATCTGACGTAATTTCGCGGTTTCGCTGTCGTTTGGTTATAAGATTGAAGATAAGTCGGTCTGTGAAAATGCCTTAATTAACTAATTAGGATTTTTTCAGTAGAGCCACAAGGCCCTTCTAGCCCCTGTGGAAGAACAGCAGATTAAATCATACTTCTAAAGTAGAGACACAGTTTTGTTGAAATTCGTATCACTAATCAGGCCTCCTTCCGATATAGGCCCTTCTGAATTGTGCATTACCAGACTACATACTCAGTTGTCATCCGAATATATGCTCGTGCTGACCCGATAAGTCTTAATTGAAAGACGGTCATGTTCGTCAAGTTAATTTCTAAAAATATGTTGGCATGACGACACCTCTGTTCCGGCGTCAATTCTTCAGAGCGTCATAAATCATCGACCCAAGTATAAGGCAAGGAACCGTTGGAGAAGTTTCCGAATTGACAATATACTTCTTACTCAAAATGTTAGTAAGGAAACAAAGTTTCCAATTAGTTTCATCCATAAAGGACCGTCTGTTAAAAACTTTGAAAAAAGTATTCTGCTGTTCCCATACATTGCTTTGGAGGGGGCTACCTCGTGCGGATGGGCGACGAGCAGATACCCAAACGACTCTTCTACAGAGGCGACACGACGGGTTCCCGCCGACAACGAGGTCAAGTCCATCGATACAAGGCCGCTCTGAAAACGTCTCTGAAACGTCAGCAGATCGACCCAGCCAACTAGGAAGATCTCGCCCGAGACCAACCGACCTGGAGGAGGACAATGAAGACAGGCGCGGCGATCTACGAAGCCGACCGCATCACCGCCGCCAAAGCCAAGCGGGAGGCTCGCCAATTCCAACGGCGCCCACCTCACAACGCCAGCGCTCAACCGCAACCAACATACTCACGATGTTAGCGGACGTTCCGGACACCAATCGGCCTTGTAGGACATCTTCGTACCAACCACAGCACCCGGAGTACACCAGCTGCTGTCTCCTCGTCCAGCTCTGTCTTATTCTCCACGCTGACAACTAACATTGACCGCACTCCCGAATCCCCACTAGCATCCTCCCTCCTTTCCCTCCCACTCATCCTTTTATTCCTCCTACTACCCCTCCTCCTCCTCCTCCTCCTCCTCCTCCTCCTCCTCCCCCTCCTCAACATTCGCTACGGTGGCTCCTGTATCCACCACCAATACACACACTCTAGTCACACCAACAAACATCAAACCCCCACCAACAACGCCAACGATGTGGACTCGGTTCATGCCTGTCCTCATTGCAATCGCACCTCCACTTCGTGCATCGGCCTGGTCGGTCATTTGCGGGTCTATCGTACGGAGACTGGCGAACCTGTGTCTGGAGCACCAATCTACACTCGCCGCACCCGCCTCAATTGCCCCCACTGCACCCGCACATTCATCCACCATGTGGGCTTATTAGACCACATGCACATTCACGAAAACCTGCCGTAGACAACCGCCGGCCGCACCACACCATCACATCTTCCCCCACCAGCACTCGCACGTCCCAACACCATCACCCATCACAAACACCCAATTACCACCTCCCACGCAAGTGGGAAGTGTGCATCTCGGCTCCGTCTCCATGCGTCTTCTATGCTGCATGCGAGATCCGAGTCTGAGACTACCACGGTGCATCAAGCAGTGTGGCCTGGAAGGCTACTGACTGACACCACAACTCAATCCACGTAGTTTGCCCAGTTGTGTGTGTATGTGTGGAGTGGGGACTGGTGGGCTGAGAGCCAGGCGGAGATGGCGTCTTCTTAACGTGGCCTACGGCACTATCATGCATGTGAGATGTGCGCCGTTCAACCCCCGTTGTGTGAAATCCTGATGTTTGTGTCAGGGGGGCAGGTCGTGCATGTGCGCGCGCAGGCAATGTCACTAGATATGTCGGCCACCGCGCCCATTCGACACGCCTGTCAACTCACCAGCTCCGACAGTGGCTGTGGTCTGGGAATGGGAAGAGAGAGAGAGAGTGAGGTCGACGGCTCAGCGCATTTTCATCACTGTAAAAAATCTGACGCGCTTGAAGCTATCACGGTGCGTTAAAAGCCGTGGCCTGGAAGGTTGTCAACTGACGGGATAACACGGAATTCGCAGTTGGCCCAGTGTTGTATGTTTCTATGGAGAAACCGGCTGGTTGTCTAAGCGTCAGACTGCAATGGCTCCTTCTTAGTGTGACCTTTATGGCACTCCCACTGCGTGGGCACAGGTGGGGGGGATGAGGAGAGATTGCGTAGATGCTGTGAAAATCTACACTCATTAAGAACTAATTTAGCGCAAATCACCGAGCCTGCTCCAAATTGTTGTGGAGCATAATGTGGACAGACCGATTGGGAAGGAGGAGCAGCACCTCAACTTGCTGCTGCATTAATAAAAGTGAAGAGAGGAGTCCAAAAAAGCATTAATTAAGAAGGAGACACTATCGCTGGAACAACAGCGCTATTCGACTGAC